ACTTACGACTAACGTGCTTGATATGGCTTTAAATAAAGTGTATGGTTTCTAATTATCTAGCACAGCAATATCTGAAATCGTAAGTTACGAAAAGCATACATATTTGTGCAGTTAGTTTCGATTCTCGGTGCACCACTATTTCAAAGTAGTTCGAAAGATGTTGGGGTTATCATTCTTAAAACTTACGCAGTGGTGCCAAAGCTGTGTATTTGGGAATCTAATATGTTTTGCAAGCTTATAACTTTTTGGCTAAAAACCATATATTGACTTGGGGTTTAATCACATATTATCTTTCTAAACAATAAAGTGGGTTATTCTTCTAGCCCGCATGCATTTGTTCTATCGGCTCTTCTATAGAGCAGCAAAGTTAATTTCAAGTTCTAGTGAAAATTATGACTCATTTTTATTTTCTTCTTTGATTGTTATGGATTACAATCACTTGCTGGTATTTGAGACAACATCATTTCTTACCATTCATTGGCGTTCTTTTGCAGTCAGAAGTGGCGCAAATAATCGTAGTCAATTTATGCATTATTTTTCTTCTTTTTTTATGTGGAAAGCCTGGCTGGTATTTTGAGTGTCTATCCGATTTTGCAGGACGAAGACGTTACGATCGCAAGCAGGCAGGATTCGGAGGTCAGACTAAGCCTATCTTCAGGAAGAAGGCCAAGACAACTAAGAAAATTGTACTTCGTATGGAGTGCACTGAATGCAAGCACAAGAAACAACTCCCTATCAAGAGGTCAGTCAATTTCGGCTTTTTTCTCCATTATATCTGGTTTGATTAGGATATCGGTATTAAAGTCATTCAAAGATATCTTATCGTAACTGCATTGACTGACCAGTTTGTCAAAAATTGCTTCGAAATCTGTACTGTTGTTTTCATTCAGATTTTGTCAGAAAAGTGTTTGAAGCGCTGTTAAATTTTAATTGATCATGAAAGCCTCGAAATTGTCGTTGATTTTTCTTTTGTAGTACCTCGCATCGCTTTCGCTGCAGCCATCATAAATACTATATAATTCCAATTTATTAAGACCAAAGCTTGGAATTGTTGCGCTTTCTGACTGTGTCCCCCTTTTTTGTCACATTCCACTATAGTTCTTAACTGTGAAATGGAATGCGACTAGGAAGTACTCGTACAAGCACATATTCATATTGGCCGACCATCCATCATTTCGCAGACATTCCCCTTAAATGTCATACCATTTGACGTAGTTGTTCGATCGCAGAGCTTCTTTATTGCTCATTTTTCCGCCACTACTCTATAATCTCATTGACTGCAATACTTGATGATGCTTAAACCGCCATCTCTCTCTATTTGGTTGTTTTTCTCAAAAGCTCTACCTTTTTTCATCTGTCTTTAACGTCCCACTGCTCTCGGCTTTTTGAATCGCAGCAAAATCAATCATGGAGTTCTTGATTTAAATGATTGGGTTAATACTGCAGTATTGATTTTCAGAAATGTCTGCAGATATGACTTTTATAGTTTTTCACTGTATCTTATTCAGATGCAAACACTTCGAGCTGGGAGGACAGAAGAAGGCGCGTGGCCAAGTTATTCAATTCTAAATGCTTGCGATTGTTATTGTTAATGGTTTTGCCTCAATAAACAATTTGTTTGAGGACATTCGTGTTTGTTGTCGGGTTTCGTGTACACTTTTCCTCGCAGTCATACTTGTTGAAAACATGTATCCCTGCCAAAGAGAAGTTTTCTTAAGGTTTAGTTATGACAGAATGGAGTGCGTACGGGTATTAGACAAAGCTGGTAGAGGTTGGTCGTTTCTTGTTATGTTCTATCTACGCTATTTTCGTTTCAATGACAAATTTTGTTTTTTTTTCACTTCTGGGTTGCAGCCGCTTTTTCTGATATGGACACTTTAGCGTGATGCAAACCTGTAACGTAGTTGCGGAGATGAGAATTTCAACAATTAAACTCTTCGAGCTGGCTTCATAAGAATTGATTTTTGAAAACAATGTTGAGTTGTTGAAATTTGTCGGTCACATATACAATTTAGCTTGGTTGATACAGATGATGTATCAGCACACTTGACATCATTGAACTTGATCGTATTTGAGTAATTGCATTGCAGTAATAGCTATGCAACAAGCGCATTCACCTATTTTGCAAAAACCATGAGTTTTGAGATGAATAATTCCTAGGCTTGTGACAGTTACAAATGGGGATCGTAAAAGAATTCAAGAAGCGCAAAATTTGCATTTGATTTTGTGTTAACTGACCTTACCTTGAAAATGGTTTTTTTTATCTGTATTACTTCTTTGTGTGTGAATAGTGCTTTCGAGCAATCGTTCTTTTTCTCCTTGCCTAGATTGGGTTTATGTATGGTATAAGACTGACCTGCGGATTTATGATTGATGTAGTCAACAGCCTATAACGTGAACTGTTTTTTTTTTTTTGAGAAATACAGAACTCGCTATCTGTTCTATACCTGCTCCTAGCGCACTGAGTTATTCGAGAAATTACACGAGATGCCAGCCGCCAGCAAATATTGAGTTGAACGTTAAGTTCAGAAGGGGGACAAGTGTCATATAACATAATTCAAATTAAACCTGGAGCAAAAGAAGCCTGCGGTGCTTATTTTGTCCGCTAGCGTGTTGAACGGTTTTGTGCAGATCACTGCAAAATTTTCGAGGTTTGGTACTATCGACCTATGTATTTCTTAAGTAGCTCAACTAGCTAATTGAATGGCAATGCTCAATTGTTTAATGGAGAATTGCGCATCAAGTTATGGTTATTGAAGGTTCTATACCCTTTAATGTTTACCGCATTGTTCAGTTCTTTACTCATTTGAATCCACGGCTGCAACTGTCTCCATCGGTCGTGATAAAAAGAAATGTGGCATAGCATTACCGGTCGATGCTCAAGGAGTTTCTAGGGTTCATGGATCGCTCACTTGGGATGGTCAGGTACGCACAGTTCTTTAGGTAGAGGGATCTATCATATACCCTTCATCTTAGGAGAAGCTTGCTTATTCTGATGCGAGCACATATGGAACGATGGTGGATGGGAAGCTGATCAAAGCAGGAAGTAGAGACATCAAAGACGGGTCGCATATCCTTGTTGGAGATGTAGAACTTGTGATTTCGTTCGTGTCTGCGCTCTCAAGCTCAACATCTGATCTCAAAGAGGAACCACAATCTGTACATGTGAAAGTATTTCATAAAGCTTCGGCTAAACTTTTTTCCTGTTAGGAATATCTATTCTGTTAAAGAGTACAAGCACGAAGCGAAAAAGTACGAACACGAATGTGCTTCTCAACGATAGTAAACGTCCAAAGTTGAACAATAGGACGCGCACGTCACAGTCACAGGTATGCTTTTCACCAATTTATTGCACATGCTCTGCTTCCTACTATCTATTTCTACTTGCGAACTAATTGCTTTGATTTTTGTTTCAAATGTCAGCTTTCATCGTGATCAGGACTAATCTACCCAAAATTTGTTGACAAATCAAAGATATTTGATACGAAAAAGAGAAAAAATGTTTTCTTATCCTTTCATTGATGATCTAGATGGAAGGATAAGAAAACATTGTTTTTTTTGTATCAAACTATCTTTGATTTGTCAACAATTTTTGGGTAGATTAGTCCTGATGTCTACCTATTTTCCTAGATGATAGGTTAAGATTGCCATTGTCTTAATAGTCCTAAGCCAAAAGATTTACTGCGTTAGATCTTTACACTCTCACTGAGTTGGGCGTTCTCTCTTTTTTAACGACGCAGAGAGTGATTTAGTTTTCGCCGTTTTTTTTCAGAGAACATTGACCGTAATCGAGGAAGATGAGGACGTAATTTTAGTTGAGGACACACCACCAAGGTTAATTGTTTGAAAACTAAGCTTACTGCTTGAAATCACACTTTTGATGACTGAACTTTTTCAGCCGAATTGTGGATCCAAAAGCTGCGTTGGCAGAAAACGGGACTTCTTTCGTTGCGGATTCGGCCCCAGTTCATAGCAACAGTAGCGTTCCTTCACAAATCCTGGATATAGGTTCGGTTACTTGTTCAAATTTTTACTATAAACTGGTCTAATAAACAGTATTTCTGATAAGTTAGAGCAAATTCACTCTGTATTCGGTGCAATCTAGAATATAGGTCATAGAAGTCTACATTTAAACAGAGCAAACAATTTACTCACTTGTCACATATCTCTCCTTCAGTTTTCTGAAATGTCTTGGTTTGTTCCATTGCATGTAGTTTATAGCACTTCAATCGTGCATCTACAAAGAAAAGTTTCGCTGGGCACCGTTAATCTGACATTTTTTGAGAATCATTATAGTACAAATATTGCAGATCCATCCAACCCTAAGTCCCAGTTGCCCTCATCACTCACTTCAGTTCCTCGCAAGAAGAAGGTTTTTCGCATTTTGGATTTTCTATTAGTCAATTGTTCTCTTCTTTTCATTTTACCGTTATAAAAAGAATTTTTAAGCAACGCATTTTTGGAGTCAATCGGGTACCGTACCAAAAATGTATCACTCCGAAGATAGTGGCTGAGGACACCTTTTTGAACAGCTCTGAATTAGCTGAACCCAACTTTAGGAGAAATGCAATTAGTTCCGTTAACGTGACATGTATCCCTGATTCCTGCGCTCAAAAGTGAGCTTACTGAGATATTTATTCTTTTTATCTAGAAATAAATACTAATTTATAGTGTCGAACCTAATTTGTCAAGAAAGAGAGAAATGACGATGGATTCATTCTTAGCATCGGTGGGGAAATTTTGTTCTTGTTTTTTTATGTTATGTATGATATTTTCTAGCATAAGTTAGAGCGTTCGATGACCTTTGAGCCTCAGGTTACATCAGACTCGCAACTGGCTGCGAATTCAGGAAACGAAAAAGGTAATGAGTTTTTGTTCGAAGTTTTGGTCAAATTTTTTAGACGAGAACTTTTAGGCCCACTACGCAAAATAAATGGATCACTACCAATCAAAAAAGCTAAAATATCAGATGCGATCTGTGAAA